TCTTAAAAGTACCTAGCGAACACCTCAGAAACATCTCTGGTAACCCTTAGCTACTTTCTGGATAACTGTCGTCGACGTTTCCTGCAGGTTAGCTAAACACTCCGCCTGCGCTCCGGACTGTTCTTCAGGACATTAGGAAAGGGAATGATGTAGTGATGTGTCAGTCGCTAAAGAAACAGCTCTCAGAGCCGGCTCCCTGTTGGAGTAACCAGAGTGAGTGACACACACACCGCACCTGCGGACTCCTGAGCTGATAAAAACGGCTAAATGTGCGCGTGCGGCGTGCTAAACACACGTGCAGCTTGCCCCTGATTGCTGTGAGACCGGGTTGGGGGGTGGGGGGTGCAGCTGTGGTTGGGACAATTATTACATTAACTGATGGACTTGTAAATAAATAGTTTATAAATAAGGTAGAAATAAGTTCCTCACACTGATAACTAATAACTAATCTCTCTGAGGACACGGTGCTAGTGCACTCTCCTACAGCACCTTGACATGACTCAATAAATGTTATGCAAAATTTTGTGAACATCAGTTTATTTGCATTTATTTGTTATAAATGCCACTGTATAATTCTTGCTGTCAGTATTTGCAAGATATTGGTATTTGGGTCTGTACTGGTTAGACTTAAATGAGTTAAACCAAGGTTTATAGCCCTTGGGTCATTTGCTATAAGTATATTGGTCTTTTTATACTGGGAATCAGGAGTTAATTTAGTGATCATCTTGTTTCTTGTTTATTTTTGCCCTGATTGTGCCCTGAGCAGTTTTATGACTGAATAAAAACAACAAAAAATCTACATAAATTGAAAAATCATCTTAAATAATCGAGATCTCAATTTCAGTCACAATAATCGTGATTATTGTTTTTGCCATAATCGAGCAGCCCTACTTTAGCATGTCCGGTCACATAATGATGACATCATATTCAGTGGTCATTGTGCATCATTTCAGGCCTCGTGGTCAACTGTCTGAACCGCTGAACAGAAGTGCCTGGCTTATTTTCTAAGTAAAATAAATGTGTGCAATACGTTGTCAACATCAGTGAGTCTCTAAGTCTATTCTTTTTGTATGTTATATATGTTAAAATATGTGTAAATAGGTCGCTGATTAACCCTTTTTAATTTAGTGTTGTGATGGTTTTAAAAAAATTCTGAAGGTAGTAAAAAAAAGTATTAAAATGTAGTAAATTTTACTTAAGGATTGCTGTATATACCCTGTGAAAAGATGAGATAAATTAACGAAGTAGATGCAAAAAAAGAACAAAGAGCACCAAATGGCCACAAAGAGAATAACAGTTACTTAAATGTAAAACAAAGGTGCACAACAACCACTGAGACATGCAATGAAGAACATAGCACAAAAGTCCAATGGTGCATTTGCAACTTACTATGCAGGACACCAAAACAAACATGTTTGACTTTTGCATCGTTTTGTGTTTTGCTATAATATTATTGGGGGCCTTTTAAATGCATCTGATCGTGTGTTTTCAAGTGTTAATATTTCATCCAGACTGTAATTATTGCCCTTTTTTTTCCAAACTCAGAAATGGGTAGAATGCTTTCTCGAGGTCAGGAGGAATCTGTGCTGGGGGGGGGGGGGGGGGGTGCTCCAGTAGAGGTAGACGCTGAACCAGATAGATGAAATGATTTTAAAATCTCAGTTTCGTCCTGAACTGGGACAGAGTTGTTTCGGACTAATTTTGGAAGAGCATGAGAAGCTAATGCCGGGGACACACCGGCCGCGTAAGAGCCGAGAAGCGAATCGCTCACGAAATTCGGCCGCTGCTCGCCGCTCCTCAGTTCAGATCAGACGCGCCCCAGTCGAGGCACGCCTCGACTCAGCTGTAGTTTTTCTTTTAAACACTTGGTGTCCTCCATTTCCCCTCTGCCTTTTCTCAGCTCTTTTCCTCTATGTGTGTGTGTGTGTGTGTGTCTATGGTATGAGTTGTTTCTGCCAGTTGAGTCTCTTGGAACCCGCTCCAATTCTGCAGCTGTATCCTAGCCGTTTCTTCCGAAACAAATAATCATGTTTTTCGGGGGTCGTACAGCTCCTTGTGTTTCTCTACTTCCATAATTCATTTAAAGTCATCCATCTTAACTGCTTGCCTCAGACTTTCTGCCCCTCTGTCCTGTTTGCTCCGGTGAAAAGACACCCAAAACCACACATCCCTTCACGTGGTCACACATGCACACAAGTTCAATGTGTGTGTACGTGTGTGTTTGTGTGGTTTTTCTGCAGTGTCTGATTACGAACACATTTGACTATTGGGGGATTTTATTTTGAAATGCTTTATTTTGTTAACTTTACCGGCCTGCCTCTTATGTCTAGGTTTGACTTCCTGCCAGAATTGACGCGATTCACCTGCGGCTCGCGAAAAAAATGGAGCTGACGCCGAAATGATCGCAGCACAGCGCGGGCTGGTGCGCCGGCGCGAGGCGATTCGCGGCACTTCGGCGGCCCATGTGCTCTATAGAATAGTTTAACAAGGGCGCCGAATGAAGGCGGTCCCATTTTCGCGGCGTTTCCGCGGCCAGTGTGTCCCTGGCGTAAGTTGACAGATAAAGACTTAATCACTTTCCAAAATTTCTGTGGGTTATTCAGGTTCTCAGTTGTGACAGATAATGGTCTGATTTGGCCATTTGATGAGAGTGGTACATTTATTTCTTAGTAGCTAAAGATGGCCCAATCAGAGGGGAGATTTCCTTTTCTGGCTTTGGCCCTTGCCATGTTACGCTGGTGGATAATATTTGACAGTTTGGGGGGAGAACCGGGGATCTTCTCTTTGATTCTGAGTTTCCTGAAGGGGCATGCTTATTTACAGTATCCATGAAAGTCTCCTTGAAGAATGCCCATGCTAGCTCGACATCTGGCAACAAATCTATAGACCCTTTTATTACCTACGTCATCAAAAGTTGCGCACGCAGCCTGGCAACGAGAGTGAAGGCTTCCTCATTCACACTCGATACTAAAACAGCGTTTTAAACCCTTTGTTTTGAAGTTCTGAGCACTTAAAAAAAGTCGGGTTGTTGCGTGTATGGATGCCAGAATAGCTTCTCTTCAAGCAGTGGACTGAAACTTTACAGAACTCCGAAGGGAGCACATCCATTTCAACAAAATCGGAGGCGTCTGTGGCTGCAGGCCATCAAAAGGGTAACTGCAGCCTTTTCTGTTTTTCCCATCCTAACACAAACTCAACTTTGAATAAAATTGCTGCTGCATGGCTGCAGCATGACCCAAGTCTGGAACATCAAAATGACAGAATTAAACCAATTTATACGCTTTATTTCATGCTTCAAATTAACATTTCATTCTAATTCATCTGTATTTTCCCACTGCATATTAGTATAAACTGTATTTCTCTAAAATTAACACGATTGTACTCTGAGCACGCTAAAAACAGAAACCTATGCTATACTCACCCTGCCATGCAGGTGCGTAGTTCTCTGGTTTGTTTACTATGACCCAAGCCTCGTACATAGCAGTCTTGTGTCCTTGTCTTTGGCTAGGAAGGACTTCTGCCTTCAAGATGCAAAACTCAGAGTCTATGTGGTGATATTTTACTTTCTGTACGTGGCCAAAGACAACATAGTTGTATGCATCTAACCATTTGTATGCCCGTAGCTTATCACGTGTGTACTTACTGGGCCTCTCCACTAAAAACGTATATATATCAGGCCACTGGATATCTAGCCACGCACCTACATCTTCCACCCATTCCGTAATGCCACAGGGATCCGGGAGTCTGTTGGCATTCGTTAAAGTGACTTTAATAATATAACATTCAAGATTTGCCGGTGATAACCCTGCAGCGTAGCTTTATAAAGCCTGACACAACGCCATTCTCTGTTGCCAAGCTGCGCGCGCATTCTCGCTGACGTCATATTGTTTACAAACAGTAAAAGGGTCTATTAGCGTCCAGTTAACCAAAGACAAATCCTTATGAAAAGCTTGTTCACAGAATTGTTTCAGATTTCTCTTGTAAGTTATGTATGTTTTAGATTTAGGCGTTTTCGTGCTCCTACAAGTGGTAACAACACAATGTTCGCTTAAATTGTTGCAGAAAATGCCCAAAGATGAGAATTTACGAGGAACATTTATTAAAATTAAGTCAATCAAGGCGGACTTATCAGGATTCTTAAGATTGGGCCTTGTGGGTTGGTTGACCAACTGGCTAAGATTTATGGAGTCACAGAAGCTTTTGAATTCATCTGAACCTGCATTTAGCCAGTCCCAGTTGTAATCACCAGCCAATAGGAGTTCATTATAACTGAATTTGGATAAGAGATGTTTTAAGGATGATAATACGTCCTTGGAAGCAGATGGAGGTCTGCAGCACCCAGCAACAGTTTGGCAATTTCCACATTTAAAGCCAAAGACTCCATTTGTTTACAGACCGACTCAGACAAGACTACTGATGCTTGATGTAAATAGCTACACCCCCACCTTTGTTCAGCCGGTCGGTCTGATAACCATTGTATCCAGCTGTGTTGATGTCCTCATTCATTATGGGTTTAGTCAGCCAAGTTTCAGAAATGATTACAATGTCTGCAGCTGTTGATTTAATCCAGATTCTGACCACATCTGTCTTTGGCAACAAGCTGCGCAAGTTCAGATGAATAATTTGGAGACCAGACAGTTGTTGGAAATCAGCAGGAGTCTGTGTACGTTGCAGCTCAGGTCCAGGGTTTGGTTGCACTCTTCCAGATAATGGTAAAAGTAAAACAATCATCAATCTGCGTTTCACTTGACATGTTGAGGTAGTCATAGCGTATGTTGAATCCATGCGGTGAGTTTTGTTTAGTGAGAGGTTAAGATTGTGTAAAGCAAGAAAAGGTTTGAGGTTGGATACGTGACCGCATTCACGGCGAGTGGAAATCCGGGGAGAACAATAGCATTTAGAAAGTCAGTAACAACAATGTGCAGCCAAATCTATATGTTCTGTGAATCTGTTGTTGGTGTAGCTCAGATTGATGTACAATTCTTGTCTTCCTCTCACAGAGACGGGCACCAACGCTCTTCCATAAAGGACCCACTGGACGAAGCAGTCGCCAACTTTTCTAGAGCAAAAATGGTAACTTGTAAATGTTAGATCATGGGTATAAAAGGGACGGCAGTAGCTCAGAGAGTAGAGCAGGTTGCCCAGCATTTAGATGGTTGCAAGTTTGATCCCGGCTCCAACCAGAGAATGCTGCTGTTGTGTCCTTGGGCAAGACACTTAACCCATCTTGCCTGCTGGGGGTGGTCGGAGGGAGTGATGGTGCGTGTGTTCAGCAGCCATCGCCTCTGTTAGTGCGCCCCAGGGCAGCTGTGGCTACATTGCAGCTCATCCCCACCAGTGTGTGAATGGCTGATTGTATTGTGAAGTGCCTTGGGGGGTTATGGAACCCTAAAGAGGCGCTATACATATACAGACCATTTACCATATAACAGCGAAGAGCATTGTGGCTTTTATTTTTTATGTATTATCAGAGAACTGGTACCAGCATGTTTTTATTCCAGTCTACCTGGGTTTGTTAGCAATCTATAGGCTCGTATGTTGAGTTAGACCAAACCAGCCTGAATGATAGTTTTTAATCAACGGAAGGGAAGGCAGTGGTATGTGATTCGTTTTAACAGAACCTTTTAACTCGTTATTCAGGTTGCCAGATGCATGATGGGGTTTTATGTGCTGTTCTGAATAGCCTGGAACCTTTTCAGACCTGCATCAGTAAAACGTGTTACGTATTCACATCACGCCACATTCAGCTGTTAATTAGCTTTGAGTTTTACTGAAATGGTCAATAAGGTCATTCCAAGTACTTATCGTGAAATATGTCAGCTTGTCAAGTGTAGTTGGCCGGAAACATGTCACACAACAATTTAAAAATGTTTTTATTATTATTTTTTTTTTACCCAACCACTAGCCTCCTCCAATGCGCCACCGATCAATGCGTATCTTTATGAATGGAGACCGCCATGTCATGGCCAAACACTCTGCGGTCTATCCAACCCAGGAGGAGCTGGAAAGTGTTCAGAACATGGTGTCTCACACAGAGCGTGCTCTGAAGGCAGTATCCGACTGGCTGGATAAGCAGGAAAGGGGAACCTGTAAGTCTGAGTCTGAATGCACAGAAGCCGACAAGGACAGGTGAGGAGGCATAAGCAGGTCAGCCTTCTTGGTGGGTTATTGGATAATAATGTTGGTTTTGTCTTTCAAAAGTGAGCAGAAAGATCCGGCCACTCGCACTCTGCGTGGTGTCATGAGGGTGGGTCTGGTTGCTAAGGGTCTGCTACTGAAAGGGGACCTGGACCTGGAGCTGGTGCTACTCTGTAGAGACAAGCCTACTGTCACTCTGCTGAAAAAAGTGTCTGAAAACCTGGTCACACAGCTCAAGGTGAGAACGTCTTTGTCCTGTACCCAAATAGGTTTTGTTTAGGTTTACTTTTATCTTTCAGAGCCTTGCTGATGTTGACTTTTAAGGTCAATTGTAAATATTAAGATACAATCATCTAGAAATGGTCTCTAATTTTTAAGTAAATGCAGGAAACGTTTATTTTTGCACAAAACATTCACACCACAGGTATTCTAGTACCATTTAGATAACAATTGCTCTTTATGTGCAATATTTGAAACACATTCCACGTCAAACATTTGACAATCGAAGCCAATGCAATCTCCTTGCAAGTTGAAAGTTTAGATGAAGCTAATATTTTTGATAACTCTGAAAGCTCAACTGGCTCAAAACGGTTCAAGCACAGATGAGGTTCTAGAGTCACCTCTGATGCTGCCTCACTTACTGAGGAAGAAGAAATTGCATTAGGGAGGATGCTAAAGATTTTGTTTCTAATAGAATTAATTTTTCTTGTAAAAAATCCCATAAAGTCGTTGCGGCTGAGGGCTAAGGGAATAGATGGCTCAGAGCTATGATTCTTAAACCAGGGAGCCAACTTCCTTTCCCTAATTACCTTCTTTTTTAAAGGGGCAACATCATCTAATGCCACACGTAAAGAAGAAGTAACATGATGAACTAATGCATCAATTTGTGAGGGGCTAGAACTGAAAATATTGCCCTCTGCTACATGCAGGGTCCGAAATTAACACTCGCCACTCGCCAAATGCGAGCAAATTGCTCCATTTGGCGAGTAAATTTTTTAGCTCTAGCTGCCACCTGGCGAGTAAATGTTTGCACCAAATTAGTTATGTTTATCAGTCATCTTCCACGGATGTCTGATACTCCTCCCGCCTGCATGCAACGTACACAAACGTACGCGAAACGTGAGCGCTGCATCCAACGTCATTTCCACCTATCCCATTCAATCAGTTTATCAAGTTAGCAGTTAGCTTCGTGTTAAAACTAGCGGTGAAATGTGGCGGTTTTTAACTGGAGTCAGCCAGCCTTCCAAAAGAAAACTCGTCGAACTGGAAGAAAAACCACCAGGACCAGTGGCAACCAGAAGATTTTGTGAAAAGTGGCGAACTGGAGACGGCGGAGTCGTGAGACAACGGCTACATTATGATGGCCTCGTAGCGCTGCTGCCTTTCACAGACAACTGTCCCTCGGCATTCTTCAAATATCCAAAAGATGCCCATTCTTCCTTCTTTGTCTTCTTTGAGGGATAATAAATGTCCTGAGCGCTGCCGTCTCCTCCGGCCATTATTTCAGCTTTAGCTTCAAGAAAGTTTTGGTTGTAAACAACAAAGTGCACATGTGCCGCCGGCAACTTCAGCAGATGATACGGTGGCTGGTAAGGGTCACCGCGCCTACACCGCAGCCACGGTAACCCACCGAGATTATATATATTTTTTAAAAATAGGACGGTTATTATTATTGTCCACTTTTTTACCGGGGTTTACTGTTACACCGGTTACCGTGACAACCCTAGCCCTGACACACTTTCAGATCTTCTCATGGTGCAGCCGTGTTCTCCAGAGATCAAGGACTATGACCCAAATGAGGCTTTGGCACAAAGACGGTGTCAGAAGCAGGAGGCCAGACTTCATGGACAGAGAAAACAAGGAGTCTGACTAGATTTCAATGAAAGAGTTCATAAAAACATCTCTAAAAATAAATAAATAAATAGTAAAAATGACAAAAGAGTTGTTTTCCTTATTAACTGATGTTTTAATTATTTTGTCACTCTGTTTGGAATCAACATAATATAGAATAACATGCTTTAGGTAGATCTAATTTAGAATTTTGGCCGGTAAAAAATATGCTTGGCCGGTAGATTTTCATCATCTACCAGCCAACTTGGCCGGTGAGTAAAAAATGTTATTTTGGACCCTGGCTACGTTCCTCTGAGATGCTGAGGACAGTAAAGATGGAACAGTTGATTTAAAAGATGCAACTGCGTTGTCAGATAGAGACCGACTATAGTGAAATTTACTTTCATGTCTCGAGAACTCAGTTATAAAAAACTCAAAGGTTATCAGAAAGTGGTCCGAGAGGACTGGATTATGTGGAAAGATTGTTATTTCCTCACACTCTATGCCATAAGTCAGCACAGTGTATGATGGCAGGAGTGGGTGGAGCTATGTGTTCTTTGAGTAAAACCAATTGAGTCTAAGATATTACTAAAGGCTACATTGAGGCTATCATGTTTAATGGTACTTTGGGTCTGGAAGGGAAACAACACTCTATAATAGATTATTTATTCTTTATTTAACCAGGAAGGTCCCGTTGACATAAAAACCTCATTTCCTAGGGAGTCCTGGCGAAGAGGCAGCAAAAGTTACAGTTACACAGACATGTTGTGTACTAGATTACAGAAGACCGTTACAACACAGGGAATCCGTCTCGAGGTTCTCAGTCTGGTTTTAAATGTACTCAAGGAGATAAACTGGGTTGATTTCCAGTGTTCTGCGGCCTGGTCCATGCAGAAGGAGCAGAGGGAACCAAAGCCCTTCAGCCCGGTTCAGTGCGAGCAAACAGAACACAGAGTAACAGCTGATCGTTGTACGCAGACTGTGAGAAGTTACATTTCTCCGTGAGATTAAGTTACAGATGTAGGTGGTAGTAATCCAAGCATGGCCTCACAAATGAAGGTGTACCAATGTCCCAACCACCTGGTGGACCAAGGCCATCCCACTGGATGTGTGTGTATTTGTATGTGTGGACCACCTCTATGATGGTTCCCTCAAGAGTGGTCACTGAGGGCATCCTTAGAGGTCTTTAGAGTTAGAAGCCAACATTAGCTTGTAACAAATCTGAAATTGTCATGACAACATAGAGCTAAGCACTCCACCGCTCCTCACCTTCACCTTCTTGACTATAAATCCGCTGCACCTGTGCGCACTCGGCTGCCGCACCCTAACAGAACAAAAAATAGCAAGTGCCTTCAAGCTCCACGGACTTTCTCTCTCCACCTGTGAACAGAGTGACGTGAACACAGGCGCACAGTGATTTCTCCCGAGTAAACGGGCTGTTTTTCTAATAAAGAGGCCGTTAATCCCTCAAGGATTGAGACAGACCGATCTGGAAGACGGAAGAAACGCTCAACAAACAAGTTTCTAAGTTTGCTATTGTCAACAGTGATGTCATCATCTGGACGCACCATATTCACTGCAACTTGACAACTGATGTAAGTTCCTACTGACCGAAGTGAAAGTAAAAAGAAAAATGAAACCAAAACTCATCAGAAGATTCTTTTAAAAGGGACTGCTTAACGTCACCGGATTGCCAACTGAAGAGATTCTTACTTCAAGCAAACGATCGACTAAAACATGAGTTAAAAAGAAAACTAAACTCAGAATTTGGGTTTGCTCAACGACAGGATGAATAGGGAATCGATTATTAAAATAAAATTATTTCCTTTATAGTGAGAACGTGTTTTTCAAACTGCTCATCACTGATTTGTTAAACGACCCCTGTCAAGTAAGTTTATTTGAGTATTTTGTGTATATGTGCATATATTAGAAAAACAATATTATAAATGCTATTTCTTTGTTTGTTTGTAGCTTTTCTTATGCGAGAGTAAAATTCTGCACTCACCTGAAAGCACCGCGTCTCCTTTATGGACAAAGTCAGCTAAATACACTGAATCTGTGAAATTGCCCAAACCTGGACTATTACCTCCATCCATCTCTTGGTCAGACAGCTTAACATACGGGTATATGTCTGGTAATGTATTTCCTTGTGTAACGGGAGTTTTTATTTTCCACCAATGCAACTTGTACGCCTGCTTTTTGTTATTTTATCCCACGTGTCAGGAGGGAGACCTGACTGGCACCCAACGTCCACGTTCATCTAGTCAATAAAGCAAAGCCTGAAAACCGTTACGAGCTTAGTCTCGTCAGCGCTGAGGACCAGTTTTAACTGCAGAAGTGTTTGTTGGACCTCGTTGAAGCTCTCTGTAAGAATGCAGCGGCTTTAGTGGGCGTGGTCCACAACAGGTAATTGTTTGAATTTGACACGGAGACAAAAACGGTTAATAAAAATCTATTACTGTATTAATGATGATGAAAGGCAAATGATTGTAACCGGTGACACGGTGATGTTAAACGAGACGGTGGATGAACTCTGATGAAACGACCTGGTGTGTCTAAGAGCTTCACTAAGTGACTCGAAGGTGTGATGTCTGGGTTTATTAAATACATCTGGCTGTTTGTTGGATGTTTTTAACCAGTTATCAGATTAATAACCGCTCTGTCATACAAGCTACAGCAATATTGGAGTGCCACTGCCTTTGGTGCCAAACGTAAGAGAATACAGAAACTGAGTACACTCCTGCAGGCTGCTGCAAGACCAGGGATGGCCTCTGATGGTCACGGAGTCGGAGCACATAGTCAGTCTCACTTTGTGGATTTCAGGCAGGTCATTTTATTTTGGCGAGTTAAGAGAAGACGCACATCAGACAGTTTGTTTTTCGTTGGACAAACACGAGGGTAAAGTCCAACGCGCTTCTGCAAACACAGGTGTAGGACGTCGTGCGTGTGTACAACATGAGCATGTGCAGAAGCTGCTCAACACATCTAAACCTGTAAGAAAAACTTGTGCATGTGAACCCCTAACCGTAAGTGGTGCTGTGTTTGAACCAAGACCCAGGCGTACCTGGACAGGTGACAACATTAACTAGTACGCGGTTTCTCCTCCAGACATTCACTGAAGACAAATATGTGGTGACTCAGAACATCCGTGAAGCCAGCATCATCATCAAGAACACCAAGGAGCTTCCTCTCACCCTCACCATTCACCTGACATCTCCTCTGGTCCGTGAAGAGGTAGAAAAGACTTCTACTGGAGGTATGCCCCCCCCACATGAAGACCTCAGCAGTGTCTGTTAGCGGTGTCCTTCCTTCATCGAGGAGGCCAGGCGTGGAGGTTAGACAGATCTGGTTTGTTGGGCCTTCAGTGCAGCTGGGGACCAGAATCTACCATGCTGATGGCGCTCCAGTCTCGTAGTCCATGTGATGTATCTGTACGTTTCTGATGGCCCAATACACAGTACAGGGCAGGTAGCTTACTGACTAGAGACATGGATTTCTACTCCTCCTTAAAAGATCAGGGTCCATGAAACGAAGGCTTACTGAGAACTTAACCAAATACAAGAACCAGAGCACTGTGTTTGCATGTGTTTTATCAGTGATGATGAACGGTTTGCATTGCAGCAAAAATGACTAGCAGACTTCCTGAAGAAGGTGTTTTTGACCCAGCGGTGGGCGGTTGACGGCCTCTGATGTTCCTCAGCTGGAAAGGCTCCAGGTTACAGATAATGACAAGAGCACACGGGACGGGCTTCCTCTGCTGTTTGGTGTCATCACCGAGACTTTTCAACCACGTAAAGAGTAACGGCTGAACTTTTCCTCAGCGTGAAGTCTGAAGCGCTCGGCCGCTGCTGGTGATATGTGCTGGGCTGAAGCTTGACCTTATCTGTAGCCTGGGGCTGACCGAGGCCCGGTTTCACGAGCCATCAGTTTTGCTGCAGTGTGGACTTGTTTTGATACCCACCTTTTGTGCATCTGATCATTTCTACCTGTGGTTCCAATTCTGATTCTCTCTGTCAAGCCTTCTAGTCTGTCAATTTTTAGGGACGCTGGACCTTTGACCAACTGGCCGCTCTCTGTCTCGGGAAGGGGCAAAGTGCAGCACACCCACTAAGGGGGCACAGGGGAGGGGCTCTACCTCTTGCTAACAACAGAAAAGAAAAGGCTATGAAACCTGGATGGAGAGACAACCTCCCATTTTTAACTTTATTCTTTGAAGTTTTCTCTTTATTGTTGTGTTTGTAGCCAGCTGTAGCACACAACACTTCCCACGTAGGCTCTTAGGTGCAGTGGTCATGCTAAACACTAGCTGGGAGGTTGGGAGCACTTTGTGGTTCTCCAGTGGAGGGGTCCCCTCCCCTTCCCCCTGCTGCGGCTGCCTGTGTTCCCCCTGGCCGGCTGACAGAACCCCCCTTGGTCAAACTGTACCTTGTCTTCTTATTCCACCTGCCAATAGACACGCTTTCAGTCATCGATCCCCCGGATGTTCTGGACAGGCACAAATGCCTGACAGCCTTGGCATCTCTACGCCACGCTAAGTGGTTCCAGGTTTGAATCTTGTCTTTATTTGTCTCTAAAGCAGAAGTAGCTTTCAGTTTGGTTTCATGCTGTTTGTTCTTTGTTTTTATTTGAAAGGTCCTTGTGTTTTTTCTTTCCCTCCTTTGAGGCGTACTTCCTGTAGTGTTTATTACTCGTGACCTGGGTGTTGGTGTAAGAGACGCGTCGACACGCAGTTGCAGTAACTTCTATTAAAGCGATTCTGTTAGCGCTTAGCTCCTGCGTTACTTTGCTCGTGTAGCCCTACTCCTGCCTAACACACCCCAGTCAGATCTGGGACTAATACACACGTGTCCAGGTGCAATATTTCTGTCTCACTTGCTGTGAATGACGTGTTTTTGTTTCTTCACACTGGAAGCGAGCTGCCAGTAGAGCACCAGTTGCTGTCTGGTTGATTCAGACCAAACGTGGTTTAACTGTTGTGTCACCTCCGGCTTTGACGCCGTAGCACTCAGTGCTCCATGTCTGCAGCTTGTCGGTGTAGAGCACGTGGCAACGACCTTTCCTGCTCTCTGGCTGCTTTTGTTGCCACACAACCAATGGGAATATTGCACCTTGAGTCCTATTTAAGTTCCTTTTGTCACTAACATAATCGTGGCTCTGTTCGGTGAGAGCACTTTTATTTTGTAGTAGCTCACGTTTAAGCTCCTCCCTCCTGTTACACGCATGTTGTTCCACATACAGACTTGATTGACCTGATAACTTCCCCTTCAGTCACCGTGACTCGTGACTCCGCCACGAGTGTTGATCCTAATCTTAGTAGTGATCAGAGTTCTCTGGTTTCATGACCGAGCTAAGCTGTTGTTTTCTGTGTTGCTTCATTTGCATTCATGTCCTTTTGGATTTAGAAGTGGGATTGTTCTTTACGTGTTCTGTTCTGCTTGCCTCGTAACTGCCCACCCCTGCTGCTTTTGTTTCCAGGCCAGAGCCAACGGGCTGCGCTCCTGTGTCATTGTCATCCGGATCCTGAGGGACCTGTGTACCCGCGTCCCCACATGGTCTCCGCTCCGTGGCTGGGTGGGTTAGGAAGTGAAATCATCCCGACTGTCTCCATGACCACCGAGTCTGATTCCTTTCTGCTTTACAGCCGATGGAGCTGATCTGTGAGAAAGCAATCGGCACAGGGAACCGGCCCATGGGGGCAGGCGAGGCGCTACGGAGGGTTCTGGAGTGTCTTGCTTCTGGAATCCTCATGGCAGGTATGCAGGCAGAAGAAACACCATTACACACCGGATTCAAGATGGCTGCCATAGCCAATGAGTGTGTGTGTGTGTGTGTGTGTAGACGGGATTTATGACCCCTGTGAGAAGGAGCCCACAGATGCTATAGGTCACTTGGACCAGCAGCAGAGGGAGGACATTACTGCCAGTGCACAAGTGAGTTTCCTAGATGTAACGGAGCATATTTACAGCCTAATGAAGGTGTCATTTCTGGCCGTCGTCTCCTCTCTGCAGCACGCTTTAAGGCTGTCGGCCTTTGGACAGCTCCACAAAGTGCTTGGGATGGATCCCCTCCCGTCTAAAATGCCCAAAAAGACTCGTACCGACACTCCTATTGATTACACGGGTAGAGCACAGCCTCAACTTTCATCTGGATGAACTATTGTTGCAATCATTTCATATGTTCTCATGAGCCCAGTATGTGCTGCATTTCAGTGCAAATTCCTCCGAGCACCACCTACGCCCCGCCCATGAAGAGACCCATTGAAGATGAGGAAGGAACTGATGATAAGAGTCCAAACAAGAAGAAGAAAAAGCTGCAGAAAAAGTGTAGGTCACCCTTAAGCTTTGCTTCTCTACATGAAAACATCTGGTTCAAGTCCCACCGAGACCTTTATACTCAGCTTCACGTTTGCATCAGCGCTGCTCCGCCCACCCTCTAGGCATGGAGAGATTCGCTGATCCAAACCGCTGGGTCGTTCCTGTCGTTAGCGATGCCAGTGTAGCGGTAGCTTCAGGTACATCGGTTCCAACTATCCGTGCTTCCTCGTCGAATATTCCTGCCGCAGCGTTGCGACACGTTTACAGTATAGCAACACGCTCATTAAGCACGGTTTGTTTTAAATGGGTGATATTACTCTAATCCAGAACTGTAGTGGGATTATTAGCAAACATTTAGTGTTAGTCTTGATGCCGCGAATGACGATAAGCAATGGGAGAAATTTCAAACAGAGATAAATACAAATGAGCTCTAGATCACCCACATTACCGGATCAGCGCGTCTGAATCCACGCGCTGCAGCAGCCTCCGGTCCAACGCTGCAGCAGCTTGAGAAGTTCATGCACAGTGGCGGTTGGCCTGATAGATAATTAATATGATGTCAACCATGCACTACTTTATTTGCATATTCGTCGAGCTTTACACATCCCAGCAATGTTTTTTTACCAGGTGAGTGCTATCATCACCTGGGTAATGAAGTATTCATTTTACCGCGTACCCCTGTAATGCTCTCATGGACCATTAGGGCTACGCGGAGCCCTGGTTGGGAGTCACTGCTCTACACTACCTCACCATGCATGTAGCACAATCTGCAGTAATGAGTGGCCATAAGCCACCAGGCAGGTAGTGCATAAGTCGGCCCCGGTGGTGTGTGCACCTGTGCTCTAAGCCGGTCTAATATTATATTGTTGTTGAAAACAGAACCACTAGTTGCAGCAGGGCTGTAGTTAGCATTAGCTTATAGCACTGGTGCTACGAAGGGCCTAGGTTTTGTAGCACCAGCATAAAACTTTAGTTACGACCTCTAAAAAGCACAAGTAGTGCTTATAATGACTTAACGCACTAACAAACCCCAGAGTCACGTACTTTACAGTAAACCTGATTCTGAAACGTCTTCAGACGTTCTTGTCCGTGTCATTTAGAAAAGAGCATTTTCTTTTATTCAGATTAGTGTAGATCTGTTCATTACAGAGGTCTGTCCTCAACAGCATAGACATAGAAGAGTAGACGCCACTCGGATCACTGCTGTGTACGATAGTCGCGGTTTCGTGCTCCACTTTTATCAACTGTATGGTTAACGGGATGTTTTAGCTAAGGCGTCAGCTGCGTGGAGATCTGGAGCGAGCACCGTTCATAAACCCGTTCACACGCCAGAATGAGAGCCCACTTTAATGTTCATCAGGCTAAATACGCGAGTTGGGTTTACGTTCACAAAACAACCAACAAGTTCACGAATGATGGTTAAAGGAACTTGTTCAGGTACAACGCCGCGGGTCGTGTTTACAAGCGTTTCCCTGCTCAGACATACCTGGTTAGGTGCAGGTTGTGTTCTTCTGTTGAAGGGTTCAGATAGGACTGCAGCTACTGGATATTTTAGTATTTAAATATTAAATCTTCTGATTAATCCAATATTCCGTCTGACACGTTCCAGACTCTGATCAGTAGAATTTAAGGTACTTCATCAACCTGTAAGCCACTGGAAATGCTAACATGCTGAAAGTGTAACGGTGGCGTGTCTATTTAGTTCTGGTTGGCAGTAATCAGTTTGAGTTATGTTTGAAGATGGACACGTTTGGGAATTACAGGGTTAGGGTTAGGCTAATGAACAGGATGATGATGGAAACTTTTCTGCTGCATGTAGACTTTTTCACAGCCTTCGTGTTTTTTTCAGAACCCCACTTGGTCGTGAGCCTGCTAGCCGCTAGCATTAGCTTGTCTGCCCAAACTTTGGCCTGTCTCTGCCTCTGTGTCTTTGCTGGTTTCTCTGGTTCCTCCACGTACCTAGCTTAGCTCAGTGTGCCGGTGACAGCATCTCCTTACACGATAACAAGCGACTCACCTTGGTTCAATAAAGGGGGAAAGGTGTCGCACCAGTGCTACGTCTAAAAATAGGTTATCGAGTTTTGTCATCGCACGTGCAGCGTATGTCGCTCTGTACAGCCCTGTGCGATATAAAATATTATATTTTTATTTGTTTTGATTATTTAAGTATTGAAATAATTCAATGTAAGTGACTTGTGGCAGCTGGTATAAGCACACATATTATATAAGGTAAGCAACTGCAACTTATGAGTTTTACCGTTTAGTTGCAGTGTGTGGTTTCCAGCCACTAGGGGGCAGTACATTCGTGCATTTCAGGGTATTTTACACCACATCTCCCTGACTGTCGCCAGTTAAACAGTAAGTGTTAGCTGTGGAGCAGGAATCATGCACCGTTGGCGTGGCTCTGCAGACTTTGATGGTTCTTCAGCTAATTCAGTAAGAGAGTGCAAGGCCAGTTGTAGTTCACGGATCTGCTCAGGCTTGCGCCTGCCGATGATGGACATGGCTGGCAGGTCTGCTCATTCGTGCCTTTTCCACTGGGATGCTCTAAAAACCTAACCCTGTTCCCTCCAGCAGCTGGGGAGGAGAAGGCTGAACCTCCTCAGGCCATGAATGCCCTAATGAGGCTGAACCAGCTGAAACCAGGGCTCCAGTATAAGCTGATCTCTCAGACTGGTCCGGTTCATGTTCCGGTCTTCACCATGGCCGTAGAGGTCGATGGTAAGAACTTTGAAGCATCTGGTCCATCCAAGCGCACCGCCAAGCTTCATGTAGCTGTGAAGGTGAGAGCACCTTTACACCGTCCCTTCTCCTCCTCATCAGCTGGTGGGACTGTCCTAATTACGCTGTTGTTCAGGTCCTGCAGGACATGGGCCTGCCCACCGGAGTGGAGCTGAAGTCTGAGCCAACGGTGAAGGTGGAAGAGGCGACTGTAGCGGTCACCGTGGAGGAGTCCAAGCCTGCTGTAACACCGAGTCAGACTCCTGCTGCTGCTGCAGGAGCCGCTGCTGCAGACCACACAGACGCTGTGGAGGTTTGTGTTGGCAGCAGGCGCTTGACCTTTCTGCTGACGTGATTTCTCACCTGGCTTTTTGTTTTGTGTCAGGCCGTTCGCCAGCAGGGACCTATTCTGACTAAACACGGTAAGAACCCGGTCATGGAGCTGAACGAGAAGAGACGGGGCCTGAAGTACGAGCTCATCTCCGAGACTGGTGGCAGCCACGACAAGCGCTTCATCATGGAGGTGGAGATAGATGGACAGAAGTTCCAGGGTACTGGATCCAATAAGAAGGTGGCCAAGGCTTATGCTGCTCTGGCTGCTTTGGAGCAGCTCTTCCCTGAAGGATCTGCACCCGATGCTACCAAAAAGAAAAAGGGGCCTTCCATGGTAGGTGCTGCGCAACAACTGATCACAGGCTCAGAACGTGGTTATGTGACGCTTTTGAGTTGGTCCTTAAAGCTGCAGTATCAAATCTACAGAACAAGCTAGCTCGTATACAAACGGTCACCCCTCCCATCAGCTACCGTCCTAGCCCCCGATAGCGCTAACCACCCGTCTCCATTTTATGGGTCCAAACATCTTTTGTTGTCCGTTACTTTTGGGCCTCTGGTAGTTTGTCCTGAAGCGGTAGCAGCCGGCTGTTTCTCCTCCTGTGATGTTACTGAGCAGAGAACTTCTCACACTTGTGGTGTTGTGCTGCTGAATACGTGAGTGTGACCAGGGAAGTGCGGCGGTTCGGTGAGACCAACAGCTGAAGTCCCATGGTCATCCTCACACACTGCGTTTGACCCATCCCCGCGGAGGGCTGCAGCAGCGGCTGTGCTTGGGAACCATTTGGTGGTTGAACCCCCCCAATCCAACCCTGAAGAGTGTCAACCAGGCAGGCGATGGGTCTCATTGTTGAAGTCTTCGGTCTGACCCGACCGGGAACAGAACCCCGGTCTCCCGGTCCCGGGCCAGACGCTCTAGGCCGCTGAGCTTCATTAACGCTTTTCCATTTTTAATCTCCAGCGTATGTTTGTAGCCGTACTTTGTTAGAATGCTGGTTAACGCTAACGCAGCGTTCTGCATCGTTAACGGCGTTGTCTCCTCTGTAGCACGCTGCAGGCTTTGGCATGATGGGAGACCCAGGTGTACCCAGAGGCAGAGGCAGAGGAGGGCGAGGTCGTGGGCGAGGCAGAGGCTTTAATAATGGAGGCGGTTACGGCCAAGCAGGTAAAATACATATGACACCTACTAATTTATTCTCACTGTACTTTGTTTCCTTCCGTGTAAACCGTAATCGCTCACATATGCATTATTATTACTATTATTATTATTATTATCATTATTATTATTATTATTATTATTATCATTATTATTATTATTATTATTATTATTATCATTATTATTATCATTATTATCATTATTATTATTATTATTATCATCATTATTATTATTATTAGTATTATTAGTATTATTATCATCATTATTATTAGTATTATTATCATTATTATTATTAGTAGTAGTAGTAGTAGTAGTATTATTATTATTATTATTATTATCATTATTATTATTATTATTATCATCATTATTATTATTATTATCATCATTATTATTATTATTATTATCATCATTATTATTATTATTATCATCATTATTATTATTATCATCATTATTATTATTATTATTATTATTATTAGTATTATTATTATTATTATTATCATCATTATTATTTTTATTATTAGTAGTATTATTATCATTATTATTATTATTAGTATTATTATTATTATTATCATCATTATTATTATTATCATTATTATTATTATTAGTAGTAGTAGTATTAGTATTATTATTATTATTATTGTCATTATTATTATTATTATCATCATCATTATTATTATTATTATTATTAGTAGTAGTAGTAGTATTAGTATTATTATCATCATTATTATTATTATTAGTAGTAGTATTATTATTAGTAGTAGTATTATTATTATTATTATCATTATTATTATTATTATCATTATTATTATCATTATTATTATTATTATTATTATTATAGCAGCAGCAGCTCAGGAGTAGAGCGGGGTGTCCAGTAATCGGAAGGTTGCAGGTTTGATCCCAGCTCAGACCAGAGAATGCTGCTGTTGTGTCCTTGGGCAAGACTCTCAACCCCCTTGCCTGCTGGTGGTGGTGGGAGGGACCGGTGGCGCGTGCGCTCGGCAGCGTCGCCTCCATCGGTGCGCCCCAGGGCAGCTGTGGCTACATGGTAGCTCCTCCCCACCAGCGTGTGAATGAGTGAATGATTGTGAAGCGCCGTGGGGGGTTATGAAGCGCCATACACATTAACAGGAACAGCCATCTTCTCCTGATGACGTGAGCCTAAAGGTGTGCTCTCCCCCCTGCAGGTGGCTTTGGAACGTTTGGCTACGGGAACAGCGCTAACTCGGGCTACAGTGAGTCTGCCCTTTTCTCTCCCATTCCAGTTAGATGAGTGTCCCAGCAGGACCAGCATGCTGGGCTAACTGGTTTTACATTTCTCTGCTGAATGTGCTCCTCGTGATTTTCTCCTTCTTCATTGTGGCAGCCTGGTTTGAGGACTGACCTACCAGAGCGTGACAGGAGCAGAGAAATCTAAAAAAGAAAGAATTTTATCTTAAAAAGACCAAATGTGTCATTGGCCTGCAGAAAACCCAAATCAGATGACCAGAGTCTAATTTTTATTTCTTCTTTCTCTGCCCTGTCTCACTCTTTAGGTGACTTTGTCTCAGACTGCTATGGCTACCACGAGTTTGCGACATAAACTTCCCGGTGTTAAAATGACATAGAGAGTTAGGAATGGACAAAATGCTCAGTAGGATCATGAACTTCCTTCACCATCAAGTCCAGCACCCTGGAAGTCCCAGCGCCGTGTTCTTTCTGTGGACACACCTGAACTCCTCCCACTTCAGAGCACATTCACAACCGGGTGTTCATCTGGAGCCGTTGTGCGCGGTGGCGCGTGACCCGCAGGACAAGGGCAGCACCCTCGTCTCCGTGTTTCTTTAACGTGGACTTTAGGTCTCGAGTGTTTTACTAACTGTGATGAAGCTGCTTTGCTTTTATGAACCTGTCTGGCTCCACTCTGATGGCGTGATGGCGTCTCAGAGTTACCAGCGCACGCTGTTTTTATAATAAATGTGACTTCATGACTCTGCTAGCAGTTGTTGAATTATTGATTTAATCACGAGAACAGTGAGGAAATGCGTGTCTGAAGCGTGTGCCGTGCTGTTATTCCCTAGATTACTACAGCAGAGGAGGTGCACATGGAGGAGGCGGGGCCTCGAGCAGCCCAGCAGCTGGTCCTCCTTTCAGCACAGCAGAAGCTCCGCCTCCGGTCTACGGTTCATACTATCAGGACGACGGCTCCTTCTCTGCCCCTTCTGGCAACAAACCACCCAAAAAGAAACCTCCAATTCCAAAAGTTGGGAAGGCAGCACTTCCAGGTCCAATAAGAGGAAGCACAGGCGCTGCAGGAGGCTATCAGCCAAGCAGCTCACTGGGACAGGGCCTGTATAACCAGTATGGGCCGGGCAAAAAGACCTTCAACCAGAACCAAGCTGGTGCCGGGGGTTACACTTACAGCACGGCCTACCCCAGCCAGGTGACGGGAGGCGCTGGAGGTAACCAGGACTACATCTATGATGGTGGGTTTGCTTCATCTGTCACACGTGCAGGTGTGTTTTTGTGTAGCGGTGAGGGAGGATCGCCTTCCTGAACAGCCTCAGTCCAGAGAAACAGAGAATATCAACACACACACACCCACCCCAACCCTCTCCCGGTCCGCCTTAAGCACGCTTTCTGGGTGAATCCTGACCTAACTTGTCTAGTTACAGTAGGGTGTGAAAGTTTGGGCAGCCTTGTTAGTCTTCATGATGTTCCTGTGTAACTCGCCAGTGATGGGTGAGAAGGTCAAGATCTCATGTAGGACACACGCAGTGATGGGTGAGAAGGTAAAGATCTCATGTAGGACACACACAGTGATGGGTGAGAAGGTAAAGATCTCATGTAGGACACACGCAGTGATGGGTGAGAAGGTGAAGATCTCATGTAGGACACACACAGTGATGGGTGAGAAGGTAAAGATCTCATGTAGGACACACGCAGTGATGGGTGAGAAGGTGAAGATCTCATGTAGGACACACACAGTGATGGGTGAGAAGGTAAAGATCTCATGTAGGACACACGCAGTGATGGGTGAGAAGGTGAAGATCTCATGTAGGACACACACAGTGATGGGTGAGAAGGTAAAGATCTCATGTAGGACACACGCAGTGATGGGTGAGAAGGTAAAGATCTCATGTAGGACACACGCAGTGATGGGTGAGAAGGTAAAGATCTCATGTAGGACACACGCAGTGATGGGTGAGAAGGTGAAGATCTCATGTAGGACACACACAGTGATGGGTGAGAAGGTAAAGATCTCATGTAGGACACACGCAGTGATGGGTGAGAAGGTAAAGATCTCATGTAGGACACACACAGTGATGGGTGAGAAGGTAAAGATCTCATGTAGGACACACACAGTGATGGGTGAGAAGGTCAAGATCTCATGTAGGACACACGCAGTGATGGGTGAGAAGGTAAAGATCTCATGTAGGACACGCAGTGATGGGTGAGAAGGTAAAGATCTCATGTAGGACACACGCAGTGATGGGTGAGAAGGTAAAGATCTCATGTAGGACACACGCAGTGATGGGTGAGAAGGTAAAGATCTCATGTAGGACACACACAGTGATGGGTGAGAAGGTAAAGATCTCATGTAGGACACACGCAGTGATGGGTGAGAAGGTAAAGATCTCATGTAGGACACACACAGTGATGGGTGAGAAGGTAAAGATCTCATGTAGGACACACGCAGTGATAGGTGAGAAGGTAAAGATCTCATGTAGGACACACGCAGTGATGGGTGAGAAGGTCAAGATCTCATGTAGGACACACACAGTGATGGGTGAGAAGGTAAAGATCTCATGTAGGACACACACAGTGATGGGTGAGAAGGTAAAGATCTCATGTAGGACACACACAGTGATGGGTGAGAAGGTAAAGATCTCATGTAGGACACACGCAGTGATGGGTGAGAAGGTAAAGATCTCATGTAGGACACACGCAGTGATGGGTGAGAAGGTAAAGATCTCATGTAGGACACACACAGTGATGGGTGAGAAGGTCAAGATCTCATGTAGGACACACGCAGTGATGGGTGAGAAGGTAAAGATCTCATGTAGGACACACGCAGTGATGGGTGAGAAGGTAAAGATCTCATGTAGGACACACGCAGTGATGGGTGAGAAGGTAAAGATCTCATGTAGGACACACGCAGTGATGGGTGAGAAGGTAAAGATCTCATGTAGGACACACGCAGTGATGGGTGAGAAGGTAAAGATCTCATGTAGGACACGCAGTGATGGGTGAGAAGGTAAAGATCTCATGTAGGACACACGCAGTGATGGGTGAGAAGGTAAAGATCTCATGTAGGACACACACAGTGATGGGTGAGAAGGTAAAGATCTCATGTAGGACACACACAGTGATGGGTGAGAAGGTAAAGATCTCATGTAGGACACACACAGTGATGGGTGAGAAGGTAAAGATCTCATGTAGGACACACACAGTGATGGGTGAGAAGGTAAAGATCTCATGTAGGACACACACAGTGATGGGTGAGAAGGTAAAGATCTCATGTAGGACACACGCAGTGATGGGTGAGAAGGTCAAGATCTCATGTAGGACACACACAGTGATGGGTGAGAAGGTAAAGATCTCATGTAGGACACACACAATGATGGGTGAGAAGGTAAAGATCTCATGTAGGACACACGCAGTGATGGGTGAGAAGGTAAAGATCTCATGTAGGACACACGCAGTGATGGGTGAGAAGGTAAAGATCTCATGTAGGACACACGCAGTGATGGGTGAGAAGGTAAAGATCTCATGTAGGACACACGCAGTGATGGGTGAGAAGGTAAAGATCTCATGTAGGACACACACAGTGATGGGTGAGAAGGTAAAGATCTCATGTAGGACACACACAGTGATGGGTGAGAAGGTAAAGATCTCATGTAGGACACACGCAGTGATGGGTGAGAAGGTAAAGATCTCATGTAGGACACACACAGTGATGGGTGAGAAGGTAAAGATCTCATGTAGGACACACACAGTGATGGGTGAGAAGGTAAAGATCTCATGTAGGACACACACAGTGATGGGTGAGAAGGTAAAGATCTCATGTAGGACACACGCAGTGATGGGTGAGAAGGTAAAGATCTCATGTAGGACACACGCAGTGATGGGTGAGAAGGTAAAGATCTCATGTAGGACACACACAGTGATGGGTGAGAAGGTCAAGATCTCATGTAGGACACACGCAGTGATGGGTGAGAAGGTAAAGATCTCATGTAGGACACACGCAGTGATGGGTGAGAAGGTAAAGATCTCATGTAGGACACACGCAGTGATGGGTGAGAAGGTAAAGATCTCATGTAGGACACACGCAGTGATGGGTGAGAAGGTAAAGATCTCATGTAGGACACACGCAGTGATGGGTGAGAAGGTAAAGATCTCATGTAGGACACGCAGTGATGGGTGAGAAGGTAAAGATCTCATGTAGGACACACGCAGTGATGGGTGAGAAGGTAAAGATCTCATGTAGGACACACACAGTGATGGGTGAGAAGGTAAAGATCTCATGTAGGACACACACAGTGATGGGTGAGAAGGTAAAGATCTCATGTAGGACACACACAGTGATGGGTGAGAAGGTAAAGATCTCATGTAGGACACACACAGTGATGGGTGAGAAGGTAAAGATCTCATGTAGGACACACACAGTGATGGGTGAGAAGGTAAAGATCTCATGTAGGACACACGCAGTGATGGGTGAGAAGGTCAAGATCTCATGTAGGACACACACAGTGATGGGTGAGAAGGTAAAGATCTCATGTAGGACACACACAATGATGGGTGAGAAGGTAAAGATCTCATGTAGGACACACGCAGTGATGGGTGAGAAGGTAAAGATCTCATGTAGGACACACGCAGTGATGGGTGAGAAGGTAAAGATCTCATGTAGGACACACGCAGTGATGGGTGAGAAGGTAAAGATCTCATGTAGGACACACGCAGTGATGGGTGAGAAGGTAAAGATCTCATGTAGGACACACGCAGTGATGGGTGAGAAGGTAAAGATCTCATGTAGGATCGGTGGTTGCCGGTTCAAAATACACACAGCCACTCCACCAACGCCGGTGGCTTGTGTGATTGAGCGGCAGAGCGGGCTGATGGCTCACTGTGAAGTGCTTTGGGGTCCTGTGGGAGGGTGGGTGGAACTGGTACTTAAATGCAGAACTGAGAAAATTCCTTTTTAGTTTTGGTTGGAGCTTCATTCCTGTGATTGTTTTGTTTATTTTGATTCTTACTGACCTTTCCACATCTTCCATGTAGGCTTCAGCGCCCTGTCCACTTACAACCCCCAGGGAGAGAACAACCAAGGCTTTGGGTCCAGCCACTCTCAGTACCAGCACTCCGGCTACAGCCGGGACGGCAGCATGACTTACCAGTACAGATGAATCATCAGCCCCCAGAGTGTCCCACCCTCGCCGCCGGCGCGTTGTTCCCATGTTGCTCAGTGCTTTTGGCTTTAATGTAGCACATGTGGACACAGTGAGATTCGTGGATATTTAATGTCGAGAGCCGAGTTGTGGTTTCATTTGGTGGTCTTTCAGTGGGTTAGTAACTTTTATTTTACTCCATCACTTCCCATCTCTAGATGTGATTTTAATTTGGTTCCTTTTTTTGAGAATCGACTGTTCCTCATCTTTGTTGCAACAAAAATACCCAAATAGTTCTTTTCTGCAGCTGCTTGCTTGTAATTTGTACTTATTTTACAATGTTCCTGATGTGGTGCAGGTTATTTTTTAATAGTTGCAACATTCTCGTTTATTTTGAGTCCACATCGCTGCTCAATTTAGTGTTTGAACTGACTGGATGTATTCCTGTTATTGTGGAACAAAGTGTATTAATAAATGACTTATTTTGACTTATTAGCTTTGATTCTGACTGTGTGAGCATCTACAGTCTCGGCATGAATGAGTACAAATGTAATCAGTAGCTGAATGGACAACGGAGCAGAATATTCCCACGGCTGGCTTTTATTGAACACCTGTTCAACTCCAGAACATGAAATTAAAGTGGGAGTCCAGGCCTGGGTGGAGACGTATTTCATCCTCACTTCCTGTTGTAGAAACGCTTCTGAAGGGGTGTGGCCCGGCGGACCGAGAGCGGCACTGAGGCAGTGGTAGACCACACCCCCCTCAACCCCGCCGCCTGTGCTGTCGGGAGTTTCTCAGTCTAAAAACGAGTCGTTAACGAGCACGTGCACAAAAGCACGCACTCACACAAGACTTACCGCTCAGGAGAAGAGCAGACACCGATGCTGCAGCATTCTGGAGGATTTCCTGTTAGCCGCGGTCATTGAATGAAAAGGGGAGGAAGGCGTTTGTTTTGAAGGCAGCGAGCGGCTCAGTGCTAATGTGTCATATCGACAGGTGAGTGGCTGAGCCAGGTGGAGGTGCGGCAGCCTCACCTGGAGATCAGTGCAGTGCAGCCACGTTGTCATTTGCTGATAACATATTTTTCAGCTTAAGCTTGGTTTATGCTTGACGCATTCACTTTCCGCGCGGTGATGCGGCTCGCGGCTGGAACGCGCTTCACAACTTGCAGCGTTTATGGTTTGTGCGGCTCGTCTCTGCGGTGAGCCAATATTCTCCCAAACTGTAGGGGGCAGCATGGAGCTCCACTGCATGCATCCAACACTACACCATAGTAGAAGTAGAAATTACTGTTTACAACATTGTATTTCAGCATTTTTAACAGCGTTCTCGTCTTTTCCGACAGTGCGAGCTATTTCTCTCCAAGAATTATTAACAACATGTTGATCACGGTGATCTCTGAGAGCTGAATCATACAAATGTCTGTATTTACCAACCTCTGCCGTGCCGGTCCGCCATGTTTTTCCGCGTCCGACCGTCCGCGTGGTTAGAAATGTTGGTTTATTATCGCGTCAGACCCGTGCCACAACCCGTGCACGCGCATTGGGTCCACAGCGCGCGCGTGAACGGGACTCGCGAGCGAAAATATACATGGCGAGAGGTCATTTGTGCACTGAGAGGGAGCAAACTGTCTGTGAGCGCACAAGGATGTGCACAAGTGACAAACCTGTGTGCGCGCGTTGCCAACGAGCACACGGCAGAGGAAAACGTGCGCGCGCGGCAGCCTCTCTGCGCGCTCGGCAGCCTTTGCGCGCTCGGTTTCTAATTCCGCTCGCTCGGCTGTGAGGAGTTTTGGCACTCTAGAGGCGTGGCCTGTGGCAGATCTTCCCTGTCCTCTGATTGGTTAGTTCACCCCGCACTTTACTCTCTAGCTATCTATATAAAAAAAATCTGAGATTCAGCAGTTGCTGTCATAGCTCAGCTGGGAGAGCGGATGACTCACTCTGTAGGATCCAGGTTCGAGTCCGGCCAAGGAACATAGAGTTGATGTCATATTATTCTTTCCTAATTCCTGTGATATTATTTTACAGTTGTGACCGTTCAACTGTCATTAAACGTCCGAATGTTTGCTGGGCAGTGTTTTAAAAAGTGCACATAAGCTCGATGGTTTAAACCAGGTAAAAATAGACTTGTGGGTGTAGGTATGTTCAAGTTTAAAAAGTTCTTGCCTCATTAATGTATTGTTTATTTTTTTCAGCATTTAATTGACAAATTATCCTTTCAAATAATTAATTGATGAGTTACATAATTGTCCATTTAGAATTGTTGAATGGACTGAGTCAAGTTTGGTGCACCCTTTCAAAACATGTTTTTTTTATTTTAATTATGCATATAAATAATTTTAATGTTAATTTAATGAAATATTTCTATTTTTTCATTACGTCACCCTTGTTTTGACAAAAACGGGACCTTGCTGGATAATATCATGGAGAAACTATTTGTTCACAGTACATGGCTCAGTGAGGATCTGTGTAAAGGAGGAGATACTCAGAAATCTGTCTGCAGATTGTTACAACCCAGACTGGAAGTGCTGGGCTGGTTAGCTGGTTAACCCTAACCCTAACCCTTACAGCCGAGCGAGCAGGAGTCAGAAACCGAGCGCGCAGAGAGGCTGCCGAGCGCGCACAGGCTGCCGCGCGCGCACGTTTTCCTCTGCCGTGTGCTCGTTGGCAACGCGCGCACACAGGTTTGTCACTTGTGCACAGGGCCGGAGTGGGACACATTTTCAGCCCTGGAGTTTCAGACCCCAGACCGGCCCACTTAACGAATTATTATTAAAATCATGTTAGAACTTTATGTGTATAGTCTACAAAAGCACACTACTCGGTAAAGCCTTGTAATTCAGTGCAAGAAAGAGTTGCTTTACAATGTAGGTTTATTTGAACATCAGTGCACATCTCCAACATTGTTCTTTACAACACATTCTCTAACAATATAACAATCCACCTTCTGTTCAAACAGCTGTTCTGAGATTTTCAAACCTTTAAAATGAAATGACTCAGCACTCCCTTTCACACTTTTTCCAGTTTCCCTAGACTCGCCTGCACACAATTAAAATAATCATCTGTAAAGCTTTAGCACATTTGATATGGAAAACACATCTTTTGTAACCAATGAAAATATTTTCTGTGGCAAAATATGCAGGCTTATTTCGTTTTACTTTCATTCTAATAGCGATCTGTTGTGGGCTTTGTGCATTTACTAATAAAAATACAACAGGTCACTACTATTATTTGGACATTAAAATTATTATAATGAAACTGATGTTTGCACATGAGTTGGCTCACCTTCTGTCCCAACAGGAGCAATACCCTCACTGCTGGCTCCTGGCTCTTCTTCTGACACTACATTGTGTGAAAATTGTCCCAATTCAGCATTCATTTTCCTTTTTTACACGCTTTCTGATCAATGCTGAATCATCTAGCATTTTAGAACACTTTCATATAGAGCCAGGATAGTTTTCATCATATAAATTTTAATAATATTCAGTTCACTGACTCAATAAGTAATCCTACCTGTACATGCCCGCTCTGGAATTGTGGGTTTCTGCCTGGTGCTTATTAGGCCTACTGGATCTTGTGTTTGACTCTGACAAGGCAGTTTGGTGGCATCAGTCATATCATACTGTTAATTATATTACATAACGTTATGTCATGACGCCATATAATTCATTATTGATGCTTAATTAACTTGAATGGTGATTTGCAGCCGGCAAAGTTTAACATCTTGACTTGCCTTACCCGTTTTATCTTCATTTGAAGTTAAAGACCGCGAGCTTGTTTGAGAAAAAAAGTGCTCATTTTTGCACATTTAGCTGCATCTGTTTCCAGCCCTTTCCTCTTTTTAATTCTTGCCTCCTCCGCGCCACCCTTGCTCTTTCTACTTTCCATCTTTCCGTCAACTGCGTGGTCACGTGGTGCGCACAGGCGCATACTGGGAAAAAGAAAAAAAACCGAGCTGCAGCCTGCAGGTAGAGACAGCCGGGAGGAGCGTATGAGATCAGCCCGGCGGCCTCAGTGCCATGACTGAACACCGGCACCAAAAAATAAAAATAAAATGATAAAAAACAAAAACGAGAGCACCGGCCCATGCGGCCCAAACATCGCGCGGCCCACCGGGAATTCTCCAGACCCTCCCGATTAGCCACTCCGGGCCTGCTTGTGCACATGCTTGTGCGCTCACAGACACAGTTTGCTCCCTCTCAGTGCACAAATGACCTCTCGCCATGTATATTTTCGCTCGCGAGTCCCGTTCACACGCGCGCTGTGGACCCAATGCGCGTGCACGGGTTGTGGCACGCTTTAAATGCCATAGTTTATGCTTGACGCGTCCGCGAGGTCCGCACGGCTCCGCGCGGAAAAGTTGCGTCATTTTGCGTCATTTTAACAACCACGCCCCTACACCGCGTCTCCGCCCGGCCCAAGATTTCCGCAACGCGCACCTCGGAAAATTTCTAACCACGCGGACGGTCGGACGCGGAAAAACATGGCGGACCGGCACGGCAGAGGTTCGTAAATACAGACATTTGTATGATTCAGCTCTCAGAGATCACCGTGATCAACATGTTGTTAATAATTCTTGGAGAGAAATAGCTCGCACTGTCGGAAAAGACGAGGACGCTGTTAAAAATGCTGAAAGGCCATGTTGTAAACAGTGATTTCTACTTCTACTATGGTGTAGTGTTGGATGCATGCTGTAGAGCTCCATGCTGCCCCCTACAGTTTGGGAGAATATTGGCTCACCGCAGAGACGAGCCGCATGAACCATAAACGCTGCGAGTTGTGAAGCGCGTTCCAGCCGCGAGCCGCATCACCGCGCGGAAAGTGAATGCGTCAAGCATAAACCAAGCTTTTTCCGAGGTGCGCGTTGCGGAAATCTTGGGCCGTGCGGAGACGCGGTGGAGGGGCGTGGTTGTTAAAATGACGCAAAATGGCGCAACTTTTCCGCGCGGAGCCGTGCGGACCTCGCGGACGCGTCAAGCATAAACCAACCTTTAGCCATCAACCACAGCTGGTTCTGCATGAGTGGAGCAGAGTTCCAGAGAGAGGGCTGCATGGTGGTGCAGTGGTTAGCACCGTTGCCTCCCAGCACGAAGGTCACAGGTTCGAAACTGTGCCGCGGCCCTTCTGCGTGGAGTTGCGTGTTCTCCCCATGCATGCGTGGGTTTCCTCCGGGTACTCCGGTTTCCCCCTCAGATCACAACATGCCCTATAGGTTATAAACTGTAAGTCGCTTTGGGTAAAAGCGTCTGCTAAATAAATAAACATAAACAGAGTTTTAACCTGAAGATGGAGATAGAATTTTGGTAAAAGAAAGAACAATATTTTATGATTCCACTCAAGATAAAAATCACAAGGCACTTCACAATCACAAAAAACAAACAGGGCCAGATTAACACTTTGTTGTACCCTGGGCAACAATATTCAAGGGCCCCATCATCACGACCCAAGGATCACCATAATGTGGTCACATACAGAATATTTTACTGTAATATGCAGTAAATATACTCAATACTTGAATGCCTGACATCACGTAACCCGCTCAGGGTAACCTTTGACCCACCTCGTGTGGACTGACCAATGAGGAGAGGGAGTTAACTTAAGGCCCTCTCTTCATTGGTCAGTCTGCACGAGACTGACTCTCAACTGACGTTCAGTCGTAGGCAGCGAAGCGTCTCTGTGCAGCGCAAAAGCCCGGGTGGACAGATTGTTTAATATAGGGTGATCATATTTCCATTTCCAAACAAGAGGGATCTGTGCCTATGACGTCACACTATGGCAATGCCACACAAACCATGTTGGGACCCATTTTTTGTAAGAACTAAATTAATATCAGATTCTGCCAATAAAAGGGCTCTAAAACAATTCATATGTAAATATTTTGCATATTTATTGCAAAATCTCATTTTTCTGCTTTAGTGCTGCAACAAGGTTTTATTAATAATAAATTACTATACCTTTTGTTTTACTACAGCATCAGGGTCATTTTGCCTTGGTCCCCAAAATGTCTTGAAACGGCCCTGGGTGTGTGACTGAGTTTTGAAGGTGGTCTGAATTGTATCAGATGTATAAATATGACACGTGTATAACTTATTGTTTTAAACAGGTAAAAACGTGTAGTGGAGATAAATCTACCTACATTTAACTTTGTTTTCTTGTTTTTATTGAACTATTTTCCTGTCCTGTCTGTCTCTCATCTTCCTGCATCTCCTCTAAACTCTCCAGAAAATCTGCTGCCTGGATTCTTACTTTTTCACCTCATCAGTTCCTTCTGAGCAGATCAAAGATCTCCTGACCGCAAAGCGGAGAGCGCGTTTCGATGCTGCGTCAGTGAGGTGACATCACCGCAGCACAGGTGGTGAGCTCCGCAGTAGCAGAGCGCTTCAGGCACAAATAAGACAGAAAGTAGAGAACATGTGCGGACATGAACCATCGTGTGTTAATTATAGTTTTCTGGTTGCGCCACTTTGAGAATGGACCATGCGCTGGACGCAGCAGCCTGGAGCGCTGCACCAACGATCATCGCTATATGTGCTCTCTGCTGAAAAGAGTCCAAAAATGATGTAATATAGGTAGAAAACGTTTTTTCCGGCTCCCCCATAATTCCATCCCTGCTCCTGGATGAAAAAACAGACATTTTCATCAATACAAGAACACCCCCCCGTCGCCCGGACAGAGAGTGAAAAGTGGGCATGTCCAGGGAAAAGAGGACGTCACACTAGTTTAATATAAAGCGGGAGATTGCAGATACAGTGTTTTGCTCGTGCCCTTGCTGCCCTGGGCCTGGGCCCTTTAGAGTTCGTGGGCCCTGGGCAATTGCCCAGTTGCCCACATGGTTAATCCGGCCTTGAAAACAAAGCATAAAAAAGGTTAAAAAAAATTATGTTTAAAATTAGAGAAAAAAAATGTAAGGAAAGGGAGAGAAAATGAATAGGAAAGGGGGAAATCAGTAATGATTACACATGTCTACAGCACCGTTACACACACACAGGTTATCAGCTAAAGTTAACAGAAGTGTTACTTTCTTTAATCATTTTGGAGATGATCTATAGATTTATCTAAACCTTCGTGGAGTGAAACCTGAATGCTTCTATGCCTTTGGTAATACATGCTATATGTTATTTTATATATTTATTGTGTGGTACGTTGGTTCAGCGACACCAGACTCTGTCGTGAATTAGAAGGCAGCTTTTCTGGTGGTGTTGAGCCTGTTCTTCATTTGTCTTGACCAGATCCATCATTTATAGATGTCTGTAGGTATTCAAACCACACACATCACATATTCATCACCTGGAAGGAGGATGTGTCATTCATTCAGAGGGCATGTCAAAATAAAAGCATGGTCAAGCTCTTATTTTAGTGACTATGTAGAGACAAAATTCAAATGAAAATATGAAACTGGCTAATTGCACATTTCTGTGTGAACAGCAGCGCGTGGTCTCTGACATCATTTTAGGTAATTATTTTATTTTATCAAAAGCTTTAAAAGCCCCTTCTTCCTGCTACTCGTGCTACGTCACATCCGGCCTCTTTCAGGTCCAACATGGCGGACACCGGTGTGGCGGAGGCCCTCCTAAGGCAGATTGAAAAGGTGGACGGCGGGGCGGACAGCCTGGAACTGGCCAACAGCCTCGGGGTGGATCACCAGGTCGTCGTGGGAGCCGTGAAGAGTCTCCAGGCGCTCGGTGACGTGAGTGTTTCCGCCTGAGAGCAGCGGAAGTTGGGCTGTCGCTGTCAGCAGCGTGACTGGTGCAGCGGAGAAGGGCTAGCTAGCTCGGGTTAAAGCGGGCAGGTGAGCTGACTGTGTTCCTGCTGCACAGGTGATCTCCGCCGAGCTACGCTCGTCCAAACACTGGGAGCTGACCGAGGAGGGCACGGAGATAGCCGAGCAGGGCAGCCACGAAGCTCGGGTGTTCGGCTCCATCCCTCCGGAGGGTCTACCACAGGCGGAGCTGATGGTGGGTGTTCATGTGTTCTGGTAGTAAAACACGGATCTGCGGTCTTGTTCTGGTAGACGACCAACCACGGGCAGGAATGGAGCTAATTCCATTATAACAAGACACAGTGAGAAGATACCAACGATGTTTTAGGAATAGAGCTAGTTTAATGTTCTAGATGTTAGGAGCAGTGGTCCCTCGGTGAGGTTGGACCTCTGTGATCATTACTCTAGCCTGGGGCTCTAGAGCGGTAGGATCAGAAGGTTTTATTGTTGTGTGAGAAGTAGCTCCTGCGGTACCTGGTGCACGAATGAAGGAACGATAGAAGAGCCACACTTGTGTAGCGCCTTTCAGAGTCAGAGGACTCCAAAGCGCTTTACAGTACATCATTCATCCATTCACTCGTGGTGGAACGAGCTACGGATCACACTTTTGCACATATATATTAGTGAGGCACCGATATGTAAGTTTTTGGGCTGATACCGATATCTGATATTAAGATCACTGCTATGGTCGATAACCGATATTTGCCAATACCGATATTCTGGCATTAATGATTTTATTCATCCATTCATCCATCCATTTTCACCCGCTTATCCGGAGTCGGGTCGCGGAGGCAGCAGCCTCAGGCGAGAGGCCCAGACTTCCCTCTCCCCAGCCACTGGGGCCAGCTCCTCCTCCTTCTGTAGGCCGACTCGTCCCCGTCACAGATGAGTGTGATGATGGTGGTGTCATCTGCAAACGACAGACTGGTGGTTGGAGGTGCAGCTGTTGGTCTACCAGGAGAGGATCAGAGGGGAGGGAACCCACCAGGACGCTCTAGTATCAAACACGTTCTAGTGAACTTTGTACCTGTTGACACAGGTGCTACAGTCAGATGGAGGTTGGCACCTAAAGCCAAAGATGACTTGTGCTCACAAACGTGTCCTGCTGAAATAGACATTTTTCCTACACGAGGCTCTTGTTCAGCATTCCGACATGTTCCGGAGAAAGGCTTGCTCCATTTTCAGAGCAGATGTTTCCAGCATCTTCCAGTGGGGTGGAAGTGGCAGGGATTCACAGAAAGGAGTTGGCCAGCTGAGCTAAGTGTGGCTACATCTTTTCTGTGCACGCGTTTGGAAATGACTTTCACTCCATCTTCACTCCCGTGCTCCAGTCTTCTCTCGGGAAGTGGCGGGACACGCCCAGGTACGCCTCTGTTGTACGGCTGGTCCTCTCATCAGCCGCCAGGGTCAGGGAGCAGTTAACCGCTCCGAGGGTCTGGAGTCGGGAGAGGCAGAGGTGGGGCTGAGGAGAAGATGCTAGATCTGACCTCATTGACTTTGTCCACAAAGGAAGTTCTCACGGTCTGCAACAGAGTGGATGGAGGCTGTAGGAGAGGCAGGAGACACGGTGCTGCTGACGGTGTTAAACAGCACCTCGGGGTTCCCTTTGCTCTGGGACACCAGGTTGGAGAAATAGGAAACCCTGGCGTCTCTGACTGCAGAGTTAAAGGATGTCAGAAGATCCTTCAGGTGCAGCAGATGGGGGGGGGGGGGGGGGGGACTTTATTCTGCTGTTGTCATTTCTCTGATACTAACAGAAACTGATGCTGAACTTCTCCACCTCATGTAGAAACGTTCCTTTGGGAAGATTGGCTTCAGCAAGGCCATGTCCAACAAGTGGATCCGACTGGACAAGTCCACAGAGGGAGGCCCCAGGATCTTCAGGACTGTAGGTTTGCTTTCACCAACTCGTAGGTCTCTGTTGTATCCGTGCACCGTCCAGATGTTTGTGCATGTGGTGCCTCAGGTGGAGAGCATACAGGACCAGGTCAGAGAGACGCTACTGCTGGTGCAGAGGGGCCGTTCCACTCAGCTGGAGGAGAAGGAGAAGAACGAGCTGAAGAAGAGGAAGCTCCTCTCTGAAGTGTAGGTTGTCCACCAGTAGGTGGCAGCGCGGTGTCATCACAGGGCCTGCTAAATACCATTCTAGTAGTTTTAACAGAAACGGCCACGTGTGGGCTCTGGCACCTCTCATGCCTTCAGTAGCGTGCTTCTGTTGCAGCGTCTGCTTGTGATGTTGGAGGTCCTCAGGCTGCAGAGCTGCAGGAAGCAGCCGTACGTCAGCAAACCGGGCCGGCTGGCCTTTTCAGCAGTCCCTCCGGGGCTGAGAAGGCACCACTAGATATTAGAAACTGGACCTTTTGGGTCTCTGGCGGGAGGTCTGTCTGAAGTCGGGTCACGGGGGCAGCAGCCTGAGCAGAAGGGCCCAGACCTCCGTCTCCCCAGCCACTTGGGCCAGGTCTTCCATGGGAATCCCACAGCGTTCCACGGCCTGGGTCTACCTTTAGGTCCCCTCCTGGTTGCACGTGCTCGGAACACCTCACCAGGAGGCATCCCGGCCAGACGCCTGAGCAACCTCAACTGGCTCCTCTTGACGTGGAGGAGCAGCGGGTCTACTCCAAGCCCCTCCCGGATCACTAAGGGAGAGCCCGACACCCTGAGGAGAAAACTACCCAAAGCTCATGGCCATAGATGGATGCAGCACCGGTCCACCTGCCGATCTCCCGCTCCGTCTTCCCCTCACTCGTGAACAAGATCCTGTCAGACTTAAACTCCTCCACTTGAGGCAGGAGCTCCTCTCTGGCCTGTAGAAGGCTTTCTGCCCTTCTCTGATTCAAGGCCACCGTCTCTGATATGACGGAGTCACTTCTCATCCCGGCTGCTTCACGCTCCAGCGAGAGTGTCTGATGAAGCCAACAGGACCACATCATCTGCAACAAGCAGAGAGCCGATCCTCAGGCCGCCAGATCGGATCCCCTCAGCAGCGTGGCTGTGCCTGCCTAGAAATCCTGTCCATGAAGCGTCTGAACCGAGAGAGACCCGCCGGGACCGCTGCGTCTGCAGCGCTGGCGCCTCCGCCGGCTGAGTAGCACCAGGTCGGGTTTTCTTAAAGGGCTTACTCAGCAACGGCTCGGCTTTTTACGCGCTGCCGAGTCGTGGATTTCTCCGGGTGAGTCTTCAACGCTCGCCTGACTGCTCTGACATCATCAGCACATGAAGAACGCAGTGCCACGGTGGTGGTCTGTTGGCGTTATTAAACCTGATTTACCTGTAATCACGGCGTCCTTTCATCGTCTCCAGAGCGCTTCAGCTGGGCTGTTCTCACCTGTGCTCCGGCCAGTCATTTAAAATGGGACCGCCTCCTCCTGCTGGATGATTTTAAGCATGTTTGCTGCCCTGACGGACCTTTTGGACCTTATTTTAGCTTGTCCTGGACCCGGTCTCATGGGCTGAGGATCGGTGACGTGGACATTTTTCCCTGCTAGCTTCTCCGATCACTCACCTGTGTTGCTGAAGGTAGATCTGGCTTCTGTTTCTCCCTCCAGCTGTGTCCACGCTGGTCCCTCTCGGGCGACCTCTGCCTTCTCTGCGGCAGTGGGGATGTGCATCGGTGAGATTCTGGCGATTCGATATGCATCACGATACGGAGACGATGTGATGCATCAAATCAAATCAACCTTTAGTTTAAAAGCACCTTACAGGCATGAGACGTCCCACCAAGGTGCTGCACAGTCCAAATACACAGATGAGACCAGCCGGGGTTAAGGGACCGCTCTGTCCCCTCTGGTCCCCAGCCCAGCTCGGGGAACCCAGAGCAGCAGCTGGTTGACGGCATGGAGGGCCGGACCAGGAACCCAGCAGCACCTCTGGGCCAACCCGTCAGCCGGTGCAGAGCAGCCGGAATCGAGTCGTGTGTTCATACGTTCATACGTTCTCTTGCCTTCCAAAGATCTGGCTGCAGCAAGCCAGCAACCGTAGCGCAGACGCGAGGTGATGAAGGCATGAACAACAGTCGAGTCAAAAAGGACTCGACTTCATCCAAACGCCTCCGATGAGGGAGGAAGTACAGCGCTGACGAGCATCAAGCAGAGACCGTAGTCCATCCCAGCTGTCAGGATGCACATCAAGGCCAGAATAGCCGATAACCGAGTAACCAACACACTTGGGTTAAGTGGACTTCCTTGTGTTTGAGTTCCAGAGCCGTGTTCATTAGTTACAGGTGTTTGGGATAAAGAAGGGTTCACCCTTTCATAAATAACTCCAGATGTTCATCACCTGTCTCATGTTCACTGTCGTCTACATTTCAGGACGGTGAAGTCTTACTGGATCACCAAGGACAGCTCGTTCAGCACCACCGTCTCCAAGCAGGACACGGAGCTCACACCTGAGATGATCGCCACGTGAGTTCTGATCCTTAAAGGATGGCCGTCCTGTCTGGGCTGCTGCCGCTCAGTGGCGGCGGACGGGCCGGCAGACAGGACACAGAGACGTCCGCTCAGACATGGGGACCCGTCCAAAGACACGGGCTCGGTCCTAAAGGCAGAGCGGGACAAAAGCAGCTTCTCTTCAGGCGACCGACGTTGAGATGACGTGAATGTGAACTGGTCCTGGACTCGTAGCTTGAGTGGAGCTCCAGAGTTTCTCTGGTCTGCGTTACGAACCTTTCTAGAAGAAACGTGATGTTTAACAGCTGCAGCGTTGTCCTCCGTGTGTGTGTGTGTGTCCGAGTAAGGCTCGGTCCAGAACCACTCCGGTGTTCTCGTTGGCACCGTGGAGACGTCGTTTGTTCTCTAGTCTGTTATTCATCAGACATGCGATCCGCCTCTGAACCAGACGCT